GTACAGGCAACCGGCTGTACAGGGCGCGGTTCCTGGCACGGACCCGCCAAGTAGTACTCGATAAGGAATCACCTAAAGTTTTATTAATTATTAAATCACCATTAAAGCGTAATTAAACACGGGAAGCAGTAGTAACATAGAAGAGTAGCGAAAACGTTATAGGAAATATTGAAAATATAATTAAAATGATGGGCCAGTGCTAGATCATATAATAGGAAAACATGTAGTGACTTATGTACTTGGCCTCAATAATATGATATCAATACTTTTTGTTAGAGGAATTCACAGCAATCCTGTACTTGGCGTAGTTTTTTACACGTAAGTGTTTTTTGGGGGATATCATTAATATAGCAGTTCTATTAAGGCTATTAAGACAAAGATCTTGAAAGCTTCTACAGTGGAGAACAAAAATATTTGTGCAATAAGAGGGCTGAAGTAAAATTTACTGCAAATTACTAGATAAATTTTTTAATTGAAACACATATGTATAATATTTAATATTTGTCATATTCAAATTTAAGTGCAACATACTATTATTCGTGTTTGAATTAATAATTTAATTTAGAAATTTATAGTGCATTTAACTTCGGCCTTTGTTTGACGCGCGTATTTGTGAAGAAGGTATGATATAGCGAAACTTCCTGACACTTAAATTAATAAGGAACAGGTGATTTTTTAAATAATTTAAGTGAAAGATTGGTGATTGGACGTTGCAATATATTGTGGACGAGAATTAGATACAATGGTAGTTGCTATTGACGTGTAGTGTACAGAACGTGATTTTGAACGTGCTACGTACATATGTTATCAAACTGAAGAAAAGCCAGAGGGGAACTTCTAAGGTGGGAGTAGAGTTCATCCCTTCTGAGAGTTGGAGCCGGAGATATGTTTAATTTTATGACCTACCTACCAAAGTTTTGAGAGGCAGTCAGAGACAAATAATAGGCTCTACTCTCAAGTGGTATAACCTAAACAGAGTGAAAAACACATAACTGGCTTTCTTCTGTTAAACCCAGGTCAAGGCAGTATACCCAAACCCCAGATCCAACGTTCTCGTCGGAACAACCTTCTTATTGCAAGAATATTTTTATCACCAACTATAACACAACGGACAGTACACAGTTGACGATACCGACGATACCCTTTCAATTAATAATAAAATAATTTTTAACCCAACCAAAGGCTTTAATAAAAAAACTTCTAGGAACATAATACATTCTTAGAGATTCTAAACAAGATACAAATAAAAATATACTTACTCGAATGTTCGTAGAATAAATCGTAGAGTGTAGAATTAAGAATTTAATTATTTTCTGCCAATTCAAACAATATATTATTTGAAGAATATTAAACAAAATGATGGTAACTTTCAATAGTGTCATTTTGGGTTATCAGAAATATGTAGTTTATGACAAAAAGTGATGAAAAGTATCATTGCCGCTCTCCCTATATCATATTTGAGTACCAACATCTTTGTACGTCTGTGAACCTAATATCTCAAATGTTAGTATCTTATAAATAAACTTGAAATTTACTAGATTCCAATATAGTTCTACAGTTCTTCTGATAGGTTTCATCAATAATTCTGTCAATTTTCGCTTAAAATCACGTTTTCGAGAAATGAGAAGATAACTTCCGGTCAAAATGGCGTTCGGTTCTTTTCTGCAACGAGCCATACATAATTGTTGCAGTTTCGACGTACACTACACGCGATAGAATTTTAGTAAACCGATACTGTGAATAGAACCAGCATATTTTCCATATTTAGATTGATGAAGCAGCTTTATTGGAGAACTTGCGGCGAATTCTAAGCCGTATTTTCAGCAGTTGCTGCTCCTTTGCTTTTCGCAGAACAGCCGCATTTGGTACGACTGGTAGATTTTATTTGACAAATTTTTACTTTCTCATCACATACAAAGTATGTAATAAAAGAGAAAGTATTGAAATCCAAAAAAATAAGCTCTCAGATTTTTATGGAAATACATGTTTTAAGGTTCCTAGATTCCAAAAAAAAGCATTAATTCATTTCTATCTGTCTGTCTATCTATGGTCAATTGTGCCTGAAAACACATTAACTTTCCAAAGAGACTATAATCGCAGTGAAATTTATTTTGCCTTCTGTGTATAAAATGTAGTTTTGGTATTGAAATTGACACCAAAACACCAATCTATTCTGGCACTTTACCTGAAATATATTTTCTATCGATAGACTGATTACTATGATTATCTATAGACTGATAGAATTACTATGCTCGGATCTGCGGTGTACAGAAATACTTGCATGCATGTAGCTAACAAAAATTGAGTTCTTCAGTACACAGATGCCTTCATTATGTAATGCTGTCCTAATAAAATAAAAACAAATCATCAATTATTTTACAGTGTACTGTGTAATCATCATATGAAATATATGTATAACTTGTCATATGCATACTCTAAGAGCAGTCATATTCCACAGGCTTAAACTGTCCATTAGATCTTCCTCTTCTAGAAGAAAAGACACACTTTCTTTGCCCTTTAACGTATAGTAAATTGCAGGTAAATATTGATTAATTACACTCGCGAAATATACACATGCAAACTGTCATGCACAGCACCCGGCTACTATAATGCATGGTGTAAACAGACAAGGTGTACTCTTGCGCACGAGTTTTATGAATAGAAAAGTCTCCTCAGTATACGTCAATACGAGTGGGAAGTTCAGAACTTAAAACTATTGCAACCGGTATCTATTGACTGAATTACTAGAAATATTGATTAATTACTGTTTCTTCATTACCTAGAAAATTTCAACTGAATAGTCCAAAGTAACAAAAAAATATTATTTCATAAAATTTCTATACCAACATGAATTTTAAGTCCATCTCAGCAAAAACGTGAGCCGAGAGAGATAGCATTCTTATTCGGTTTTTGATACGCACTTATGTAGGTATCACATCTAACATTGTGTGAATTTATACAAATTTGATTCAACTAAAAAACCTAATTTAATTTTTTTTAAATGATTGGCAGAAAAATTTATTCAAAAACTAATTTAATAAAATACGAATTGATACAACTCGATAAAAACTTGACTGAACTAAAAGAATTCTTTATTTCAATTCTGCATCACTCAGTTCTTATCATCAAGTAATTTCACAACAATAACGTGACGCTAGTAACAATCGTGATGATAAAGTCACGTATTGTGATCACGCCAATAGCAGCTTTTTTCATTCTCCTAGCCTCGTTTCTTCTAAAACTAACTGCATCTTTACGTTTCTCTATCACCTCATTGGTAACTTGTTCACGGCGTTTCCCTCTGAATTGCCTTTTCTTTCTACTCGTGTGAAGATAAATTTGAATATATTCTATTCGACATGAAAAAATTAAGTCAATACTTCTCATCGACGCATTCTGCAATCTATTATAGTTATTTTAAACTTGCAGTCGATGCAGTAACAAATGAACGTTGCGCAATTCTCTGCTATTACGTTTGGACTTACCAAATTATGTATTCTTAGAAGAAAATACACAATCTATTTCCCTATGCTGCTGACATATTTTTTCAGCAATAACATCAGCCCACCCTTCTTGAATTTTCAATAAATTCGCCTGTTAGAGATTTTTTTCGGACCAATTTCTAGCCATTTCTCAGCACACAGAGCCAGCTTTATTTTTTGGAATACAAGTAGTGTGATGTATTGTAAGTAGTTGCGATTAGTGTCCTGAACCCATTGCGATCCTTATTAATAATCGTATATACGTGACGCGGTTCTATATGCGAACCACGTAATGTCATACGATTAGCAATGAGACGATAAACTTTATTCGACGGAAGTAAGACTATGCCGTTAACATCGAGATTTCGACAATTGCTTTAGAATAAAATTTCTCTTAGTATAAGTTATTCATGAGGCATTTTATCAATGTAAATAACCCTTTATCTAAAACATGGGGTTGCTACATGTGCATGTAGTAGTGAGGTAATTTGCTTTTGCTTCACAATAGAACTGGTGCGCTAAATCCCGCTTGATGGCAGAAACGAGGGTTTCATGTGTCTGAGCAGTCCGGCTAAGCTAGCGAATGGAAGAATTGATCGAGGAGAGAGTAAGGTAGCGTGATGGGTGATGCTGCCCCGAACGGCAGCATTGTACATCATTGTTTGAACAATTGTTTAAACAATAGTTCCGTGCGGAAGTATTGTTTAAACAGTGACAGGCACTGTAATTTGTAACAGAACAGTTCAGAGCTCCAAAGAATACACTGTCAGAAGCTAGCATGTTATGTCTGCGTGCACTGAACGGAGCGATGCTAGTTTCCAAGATAGCTTCGTCGCCAGAACTATTGACTTAACGTGCTCAGATGTTAGAACTCTTCAAAATCTTATTCCTCTATGCTTAAATATTCGAAATTCGGTAAAATGCTGTGAGATGTCACCGGAAGAAGACAGAACTATTGGTAAACTTATCAGGAACTGTAGAACTATGCTATTAAGGGCATATTCCGTAATTGAACCACAGTTGCGGTTATTAAATTTCAGCCAATTGCTTCGATTGATTTCGACTGCTAACAAAAATCAATCGATGTCATTGACTGAAATTTAGTAACCATAACTGTGGTTCAATTACGGAATTTTAAGTTTATTTATGAGATGCCAACACTTGAGATGCTCGTTTCACAGACGTCAACTTTGTCTGTAGAAGAAAAAAAAAAGCGGTCGATGTAACTATGTGGTTTGTACGAAGAGTCGACCTAGCTAACGGTTTATAGTATTCGAAAGAAAATATAAAAAATGGTGAAATTTAACCAAAGAGAATGTGTTGCTGACTCGACACATCTCCCGAGTTCCTCTCTTAAACGTTCGTCAAGCCAAAACCAACCACCTATGTAATCTTTGCAAAAGGTTCCCATACCTTTTATTTAAATATTTTTTTTCCTTTTGCTACTATATGTATAGATATATATACATGCACTTCCATTTTAATAACCAGAGCCGTTTTTCCAAACCACTGTTTCAGGAGGGCCGCCGCTGGGCCGACAGTGGTTCCCATCTTGCGGGAGGATTTCATGGCAGGAGTCAACCTCGTCTAAGCTACTACCTGTACCAGGTTCAAAAAATTCATATTGCGTAATTCCGCTGCGAAATTCCTGTCGGAGTTACACAAGGCATTAGGCATTATCGATCACTTCACTCGAAAACCCGCAACTATAGATTTAAATACAAACCGTAGGAAGTATACAGTACATACAGATTCTAGTACTATTTCTTCGTACAATGGAGGAAAAGCGTCGATATTTTGATAAGAAGATCAAATCCATTTTCGAATCGAATTCTTCTACGAACCTGATTATCTTCATGACGAAACTATTTTTTCAAACTTATAAGGTCCAATTTTTATCTTTAGTCCATGAAAATCCTACAATGTCAAATTGAAAGATAATTCAAACTCAAAGTTTACGCTTTTATCTTTCCACGTGTGCGAATCAAAAATATTATTGTTATTATCCGAGTCGAAATATTTATCATATAGAAACCATACCAGAGTTTAATGTTAGTATTTTGCAGTCTTGACATCCTACATTAGGCCTAAGTACCTCTGTCTGCATCGATCCCACTCTTTCGAATTTTTTTAATGCTCATTGGCACCTCTAAATCCTACGAATTTAACTTAGACTAAGAAGAAATAGGAAAATAAAGATTTCAATGACATACATTTCTTTAAATGATATTTATTTTATTTTATTTAATGGTTTCGAACATTCTCATTGAATTGAAAGCGAAATAATAGGCAACGAGACGACAAATATAATTGTAATTGCAACCTAAATATTTCGGGCATTTTCATCTAAATTAATGAAAAATTGAAATATTTATCTTGTTATTATGTTTATAGAAAAGTTAAAGATATTCACACATTGTGATTTCAAATAAATATTGACAAACTTTTTGAATAATTATAATTTGAACTGAAAACATTAAATGTTATTGCAAGTAGGTGTCAATTGGACTAATATCAGATCTAGGATTTACAGAAAAGATGTGCATATTTATTAGGACTTTTGAATTAGGTCTTACAGTAAAATATAGGAGATTAGTTGTAATATAATTAACCGTTAAATTAATATGTAGTTGCAATATAATTCAACCCCCAACTCCCAGAGGTGAAAACGAAAATTTACTGTTAACCTACAAATAACGGAAGCGGAAATATAGGCTTTCTAAGTCCTATTGTTAACCCACATGTGGCAGATATATCCATTTTCGTCACTTATAGGTTAAAACTAAATTTTCGATTTCGGCTCGGATCGTGTTTACAGATAAGATATCGAAGCTCTCAAAGGAATAAACATTTCAGCTCGGGTAATAAATTTTTGTTACGTGATTTCTTTCCTATTGTAAAGTATCACGAAAACGATGCCAAGAACCTCATGGTCTGAACTAAAAGAAAATACAAATATTGAAAGTAATATAATTCTTATTATTCTAAATGCGGGATAAATGAAATATATTGATTAATCTTATTGCAAATTCTCTCTGTCGATTTCGCATCTTCATAGATAACAATAGGATACCTCTGGCGGAATATTGTAAATGGACGAATATTACATAAATACATGGGAGCGATATTCAAAATTCCCATTAATACCCGCGAAATATTATTTAGTATGGCTCGTGGCGCCTGGGAACGAGTCTAAGCAAGCGTACACTTTTACCATGGCAAATACGTATGGGGAAATGATCCATTCCCATACTATTTGCCATTCTCTTCGAAATGATCTTATTTCACTGATTGTGAGTATACATATGAATATTACAATACTGACGGTATGGCTTTTCAGATTTGTTATCAACATTTTTATTGGGTTTTATGTTTATTTACTGAAATATCAGCATACAATAAATAATGACAATCATATCTTACAAATCAACTACATTTACGACTCTGGAATTATTTTCGTCGCCGGCGACTTCAATATTAAAATCGAGTACTTTGATCTTGAAAGTTCTTTAAAAGGTCGTATAATTAGATAGTCATTTGTATTTTTAAAGTTTACAGAGAAATTGCTTTTACTTAGATTTGACTATAAAGGTTTAACAAAAATGGAATATAAACGAACTTGAATTAGTCAAATTCCGTATCATTTGATGTGAAAAAGAAAGAAAGTATGACAGTACAAGACAGTGCCACAATTTCGGAAAATAAAAAAGAAGATGAATTCAGAGTTGCTTACGAGAAAACGAAATACGTGGGAACAATTCTGAGACAAAGCGACAAGTATTATGTTATCATTTATAACGTAAAATAAGAGTGAAGATATTTCTTAATTTTTATGATTTCACTTATACGTATAGTCGGTCCACGAGTTCAATATAGTTTTTTGACAGATCAGAAACAATTAAGTCTCTACCAAGTCACACGTGGATATGCACCAAATTCTTATTGCAAAGTACGTATATCCATAGTTTTGCACTGAAATATATTTTGTTCACTATTTTAGCATATATTTCCCGAATTTTATGAAAAGCCACATGTTATTAGTTAAGGATTGCTATAATTAGGTTTAATCGTTTAACTAAAAATATAATTACAAGTACTCTAATGAAGACTACCGCCTACGTTCCTACAGGGACTCAAATGAGTATTTTGTCTATCTAGTATGAATTAGTATAAGACACGATTGTGAAGTTTGGTACACGAACCGTCAGGCGACTTTTGTACTCATCGGGTCTTGTACTCATTCGTACCACCCGCGCGGAAAATAAGTAGTCTCGGAAAGAGTCTCGGAAGTTGTTGCGAGTTAGATAAAGAGTCGCGCATAAGATCCGATGCGAGACTGTCGAAACTTTCATTGATAAAAAGATTAGAAAAAATAGGAAAAAATATTATTTAAGACTGGCCCTTCTACGTAAACCTGTATTTTGTGACAATGAACAAGAACCTCGATGAGCAGCTCAACCAAAACAAAAAAGCGTCTTTTTTTAACTGCCCTCATACTCATCAAGAGGTTATCAACAAGCATGATTATGAATTGAAATTGAACTGAAGTATTGGTTACTTTTGTGACCTATTAGATACATAAGGCTTTTATTATTACGTGGATAAAACAAATTCAGTACAAAATATATTCGCAACTTCGAATTTTCTATTGTTGATTTTTTATTTGGTAAGTTTTTCTGCGTCCTCATTTACTCATTTAAGATTTCTGCAAATGCCAGGACCAAATTCCGGAATATCTTGTGCGAGCCATTCGTAGAAAATCCAACTGTTGCATCATAATATCACGTTCTCAATTTCCAAGTTACCGATAATAAAAACTTAGAGTAGCCTTTTGTTACAAAGAAGTTTATTTATAATTTCAAGCTTCCGCGGTTATTTTCCATGTCAAAAATGTGGAATTTCACGAATCTAGAAAAAAGTCGAAGAGACAGTCTCGCATCGGATCCTATGCGCGACTCTTTTCTAACTCGCAACAACAACTTTGAAAATCTTTCCAAGATTCTTTCCGAGACTGTTTTTTTCCGCGCAGGCAGCTAGATACAACAGTTTTTGTAACAAATGCTCAAAGAAAACGTCGTCTGGCCTTCTTGTTACGAGAGATGGCACTATTAATCTGCCTCAAAAATATTTTTTAACAGGTTTCCCCTTCCTTGAAAATATTTTAGATGCCTATGACGTCACTATCATAAATTTTTAGATAATTTTATAGTCATTTGTCCAAATAATAATATTTTAAGGTGCCCTCTGGCGACACATTACGTGATATCCTTTCGGCATTTGTTACAAAAAAAAATATTTAATACAATAAATATAATAACATAATAAAGTTAAATATTCACTTTACGTTATACGTGTTCTTAATAGTATATTTTTAAAGCTTAATAACTTATTCTTAATAACTGATGATTAATATTTACTTTGTTTCCATACTTAACAAATCTGAAATCCATTTTGAGTGTGTAGTTTTCAGGCATTTTGTAAAATGCGGTGAATTTGAATAGTATGGCAAATAGTATGGGAACGAACCATTAGCCATATATTCCCCCATACGTTTTTGCCATACTATAAATGTACACTCTCCCAGACTCTCTTCCAGACATTGAGCCATACTAAATATTTTTACGCAAGTAGGAGTTTCCTCCTTCTACATTTCTTAAAGTTATCAGGATTTGACGTAACATGAATACAAAAACAGGTATTATTTAGTTTATTATAACTTTCCACCCGAACCTTCACTTTCTTCTTCATGAAGACATACGCCGCCCTAGACTTATCGTAATATTAGCATGCCGCCAAACATTATAAGTATGAAAGGTACATTAGTCAAAGCTGTGTCCAGACAAAATCGATTGGCTCGTTTGAATTTTCTACCATATTAAACAGCTTCAAAGGAGAATTTTGTCAAAATATTGACGACACTCAGAAAATATTTGTTATGCCACGCAGATTTTCGAAATAATGAACCAATCTTTGCGTACAAAATTGAAAACAAAAATTGGTAACAGAATGGCGAGTGTAGCTACGGTCGCAAACATTCGTTAAAACTAAACGACCGATCGACTTTTCCTCCAAAACCAAAAAAAAAATTGCTTTAACTCATAACTCAATGTACACAATACTACAAATTTTAGTGCCCACATGTTGTACATACGTTATGTATTGGAAGTCGAAAAGAACACGTCGCATTCGGACCAATCAGTACTACCCTTTGCTAAGATTCACGTTCGTTGTCGTATTATTTTCATATCTCGTTACTAGCTAAGTATGCAGATCATACGTCGTAATACAGCCAGATAAAAATATTATATAATAATTTATTGTGTAATATAAATAAAGATAAATGTTTTAAACGGATTATGTCCTAAACGAATAAATGTCTTAAATGGATTCTATTTGATAATAGTATGTCAAGCATACTTGGCATAAATCTACAGGCGTAAATCTACAAAGTACTCTGTCATAGCGTTCGCACGCTGGTCCATGTAATGGGTACCGTACTGAGAAAAGAGTTTGGTTATAGAAAGGAACTATATTTATTTGCTACTTTACCAAATTTGATTCAAGTCAACGCGTCTAGTATTTGTCATACAAAGATGTATGATGTAAGATGTAAGATGCATGTAAATATTCTTCAAATGTGCAATAACGATATATCACAAATTAAAAATGCTCTAAAGTAAGCATAATTTTGCAGTATTTACTAAAAATGTCCCATTTATTTGGACACATTTCTTTCATACGAATAAAGGTCGTCTTCATTATGAATAGACCCTGGGATATAGTCTGTCGATGCACGTTTTGTTATCATTAAATATTTATGAATTTACTTGTTTATTATTATTATTTATTTGTTTATGTAAGTACCTCTCACAAATAAATCATTTATTAATCATACACAAATATTAATTTGGTACAAGGCCGAACCTCAAATAAACACCGTGTTTAATGTGAACTTGTATTCACTTGTTCATCTAAATATAGCATATTTTACCAGAAATAAATTGCGTTAATTCTAAATAAACTCTTTTCTCAGCGAACAGTGCTATTAAATAAATTATATTATATTACTTAGAGCGTTATCAGTCTTATTACGTAAAGGTTTGTTATCCATTAACTGCTCTAGCCAGGCTATCGGCATGGAGGAGTGTCATACCGAGTACCGATAAACGAATGGGGGTGATCAACGTGTTTTCCATCTATTTTAAAATCATTGTCAGTATTGAAAAGTTTCTTATCAAGTTCTACTTTCGCGTCCATAAAAATTTGAATTGTAATATTTAGTATCTCTTTCGCAAGGTCATACTTGACACTAAATTCTAAGTTTATAATTTTTTGAATATGTTATCGAGTTTTCGACGTGTACTTATCTCATATATAGCAATTGACACTATCCCATATCTAATGTTTACAGATCTGGTTATTGCGGATGACCAATGATCAAAAAAGTGACTTTCATCAGATCTTAGATTGATCCTTCCTGCATCAAACAGATGAAATTGTAATGAAAAATCTATTTCTGACCTGCGATTGATCATTCGCAGTAACAAGATCTGTAAACATCAGGTGTGGGTTGTGCCAACTGCCATACATGAGATACACGTTAAAAATGAGATCTCACATTGATATCTCTGACGCAACGAATTTTTTACTCGAGTGTTTATACAGATACTTCGTCATCGGATAAACTAATTTCTCATGTTTCTTTAAAAAATTTATTATTATTGGTAATTCGATTTTCCCCATATCAATGCTTATTACAATACTATTCCGACAGTATAATATTCTAAGTATAGCTGTTAGAATATGTTTAGATTTTATGGACCATGCTCTATAAGCAATCGTACGTGCGCTTATAAGTTCAACCAATAGAGTAAGTACAGAAAATAAGTGTAACTACGCAATACAAGATGCGACAAAAGTGAAGCATTAATATATATATATAGTGCATATAACATCATGGAATGTAACGTAGCAGCATTCTGTATTGACCACGAGCAGCTTCGCGCCAAGGAAGGAGATGAGAATCGCTTCAACTAAAAGCAATTTCTAGACTGTATTTTTGGAAAATAGTCTATTGATCGTCAAAGATATTTTTAAGGTGCATAGGTATATTCTTTGGTTTTCCATAGTATATCAGCCGATTAAACCTATATTTAAAACTCCTAAAAATACTCGTAGTTTCATGTGTTCAAAACGATGCTGAACAATATTCATCAGCTTAATTACAACAATATTCAAGTAACTCCGAAATCATTCGGTTATATACATATGATATGGATGTGCTCCTTCCTTCATTGGAAAACCTTTCTGTGCATCGTAATATGTATCTTACAATTGAATTTCGGATCACTGTGCGTAATAAAGTACCTATCATAGCTATATTGATTTTGCCAAGATATACCGTACGTGCAATAGAGATCAGCTATTGCATACCACTTACTGCACGTACACATATCGAAGTAACTAATAGATTTTAAAATCGGTGTTTAGGGTTAAGTCTGCGCCATGAGTCTCTTCAAACAAAACGTCTTTCGGTGATATCGATAATATTTTATCAACACATTTTGCCAAACGTTGATATTTCGACGATGCAGGAAAGTAGTCCCATGAAACAACGAATTTTCTACGTGTTTTTCCTACTTGACATATGTGACTCATTTACTGGATAGGTATATTTTCAAATGCTTGGATATATTACAATAAAAACGAAATGCAAAGACGTGACATATTAATTATCTTTCATCTTTTATACGTCTAGACATATACGTTGCGACGCTAATTTTCGTTGAGATATGTCGGTCACAAGTACAGGCGTCAAACCGTATTCCACGACTGAAAACTACAAGTGAAATGTTCGTCAAATACGGAAAAGCTGTACTGCGATACTATGTCTGAATATTACCCAGAATAGCTCTTCGTCGGTGGAGTCGTGAATCAGGAAACGAAGTATTTGAAAAATTATAAAAAATCGGGAAGGTTCACGAAAAACTGCTTAAATTATTTTACCACACTCGAAACTATCGAAAACGAAATTCACAGTCGGATCCAATTTATTTTAGAAAACAGTAATAATAATAATTACAAACAAAGGCAAAATTGAATTTAATAACAGATCGAGATGTTCCAAAACGAAAACTAGATAATACGAGAAGATATATTTAAAAACCTTTCTGCGGGAGGAAATCAGAATCAAAACGACATGATACTAAACAATAATGGAAAGAAATAATAACGGAATAGTCAAACGTGACAAGAAACAAGCCGTTACTCATCACATTGCACGTCTTAGCCGAAATTCACATCTCTTGTGACGTGATTAATAATTAATTATTTGGAGAATTCAACAATTTTTGTATTTATGATAAAAAAACACTACACTTCCATTTTAAAACATCATGTTATTATAATCCTATAAGAAGGCATCTTTCTATCTTTTTTATAAATATATGTATAATTGTGAAATGCATATACGTATGCACTATGATATATTTCGCAAAGTAATTACAACATGAAATTACTTTCCGAGTACAGCATACATCGATAATTCCGCATCCACAGTTCACTAGATTCAAATATTCAAAGTTCAGAAATGCATTTGATTATATGATTTTGAATCTAACGATTTGCTGGATATAGTTTATTGCTAAAAAAATATTCTCATTTTTGTTCCTTCATAATTATAAATCAACTTTTACACCAACATTTGCAAAAATACTGTCCAGTGATTCCATCTTATCTTAATGGAATCTGCTATCCTGTCATCCTGTTATCCGATCCAGGTGAGCTTTTCCGATCCTGTTATTAGAGCTTACGTATTACAGTAGAACCTCGATTCTGGTCGATTCTAGGTTATAGAAAATGTAAAATTATGAAGAGCTGTAAGCTAATTTATAAAACATAAGCTAATTTTTGCAATATCATCGCGAACAGTTGTTATTACGTTAGCTTGTTTTACACATAGAATAATATCAATAATTCCACTCTGTAAATTCGGCAAAGCATAGACGGGAGCCTTCAAAGTACGTATGAGAATCAAACAATAATATCAAATAGTTCAGAATAACTTATCAACTGGAGGCGGTAATTAAATAGTTAATTACATTTGTAATTGAATTGGATACAGAACACGGAAAATATTATATCAAGATGGTGGATCAAATAGTTGCAGCCTTGAGCAACGACTCAAAAGCGGCAGTCACGAAAGGAAGAGCTGTTAATTTAATAAACAATTATGTGCAAGTTTTAAATCTTATAAAATTAATTCGAACTTGAGAGACAGTATGAGATTTCTTTAGAAAAAATTCACCGAATGTAATCATCACTTGTATAATTGGTTTTCTTAATACTCTTCAAATTCTCTATTCGTAAAAGAGAAAGATATACGCTTATAAATATCCAACATTACTTACCTTTAGTTATTTACTACAATACATTTCGATACTCGAAGTATAACTGTATTCATATAACTAATTTTTCTCTTATCTCTGAAATAATTATCGCTTTCTGTTAATACAGATGTGCATTCTATTTTTATAATTACTGAAAAATAACGTTCTCTAACTAAATATTTTTTTAATATTCGCAAGCGCAGTTTGTAAACACAAAGAATCATGTCTAAAAATTTGCAAGAATTTCTATATTTACAAAATTGCTAAATGCTAAAATAAACTGGACGCTCTATCAGATAAAAGAAAGATATTTACTTCAGACGCACCAGAATACGATACTCATGGCATGGACTTAACTAACTACTATTGATAAATTCTTAGATAAAAGAGATTTTTTAGACAAATATATTGTATAGTTGATTATTAATCCATTGTTAAATGTATCTGGCGTTATTATATCATATATAGTAAATGTTATCTTATGTTATCAATAAATATAATTCATGTATTGTACAAGATAGTTCGGCGAAAGAGACCACGCGCCTGCATCTGTCATTCGTGAATTTTTCTCTGATACCTCAAGAGCATAGAGAAATATTCATTCAAAAGAACATTTAATTTTAAAATATTATTAAATCCCTTCGAAGTGTAACCAAAATTAACTCTGTGTGGCATTCTTTAATTGATAATTAAATTAATTAATTATTAAGGTTTTTGATGGCACTGAATCCAAATTTGATAACCAACATTATAATACAATATTTTTGAAAAATATTAAATTAAATGAAATAAAAATATCCCATCCCAAGTTACACGAGAAGTTACCGCGTTCGAGTGCGTTTTTCTCCCTCGTTTTCACATCACAGTCTAACGATATCGGCTAGCGATAAAATATTTTGATATACGTGTCATAAAATTCGACAATAACTCAAAAATCCAGGACCAGGTTGTCGAAAATAATCAAATCTACCGAACGACTTATTTTTCTATATAAAAAGTAGTACAATTATTAATAAATTTCATTTAAATAATCAATGCATCATTTTTACATAAAAGGCTTTTGATTATGGCAACCTATCGATACTCTTTGTTCTCCCTTTTCAGATAACCAAATTTCGTTTCATTGTATTGCAGCATGTACACTAAAAAAAAACCAAAGAAAAGTATCTCTTTATGTCATCCGCAGAGCGCCCTTATCAAATTGTAGTCTTTTGTGACTACTCTTACTGTCTAATGGAACATCCAAAAATAAGATTTCGTTCGAATTGGAGCGGAATAACAAGGTGATAGAATCCTAAATATCATCAGATCCAGCAATCGACGTTTTAGAATGATTTTAGACCATTTTGAGTTCTTATGTATTATTGCAGTGTCCTGCACTGGCAAAGGTACTGTAATTTGCACACCGGTAGTCAAAAAGTGCTCCAATTTGGCGTAGACGGTTTGAAGATAAAATAAAGGGGTACCTGTCTTTACTTTTCTTCTTTTGGTCCGTTTTCAGATTTGGTCTTTCTTTGTGACTCACACTACTCGTGGAATACTCTCGAGTTGAATCTCTTATACTCGGGGCCATGAAATTACATGGAAGCATAACACAGCCTTGCATGCAAGTAAGGAGTTCAATGGAACAAACAATTTGATTTTCTGAAAAGGGAGAATGAAGAGTATCGATAGGTTATTGTTGTGGATTACCATACTTAGAAGCCTCTTACGTACAAATAATCTATTGATTAATTAAATGAAACTTATTAATAATCTTAATATTTACCAAACAGAAATATAAGTCGTTCAGTAAATGCGATTATTTTCGATAACCTAGCCCTAGACTTTTCCAGTTATTGTCTGTTTTTGTAACGAATGTCGAAACTGTCAAAATGTTTAATTACGGGCCGATATCACTAGATTCTGACTCAAAAACCAGGGAGGAACTTACTCACGAACGTGGCAGTTTCAGGTGTTCCACTTAGGATGGGACATACGTTAATAATGCAATACCACTTTCTTTCGAACACAGATTCATGAAACGAGGATATGATCTCCGTGCGCCTTCGTGTGTTTTCGTTCGACTTCGTTTAAATCTTTATATCAAGTTTAGATTCTGCGACGAAAAAAACATTAGGATACCCATTTTTAGAGAAATTGCAACAGTGTCACTCCCTGTTTTTTTTTTTGTATATGCGCACATGTATATCGTGCATAAAAATAATACGAATTGGCCCTGACAGTCAATGAAACATCGGGCAAACTAGACATTTTGTCCAGAAATTTGAATAAAGTCGGACCAAATAAATGATCTTCAAAATTCTTCAATGTTAAAATGATTATCTGACTCATAGTGCGTTTTATATGGGCGCTCATGAGCGGATATTAAAAATTGTGTCTTTAATGTTGTAAACTTGCTTGAACATTAAACTATATAAACAAAGTAATTGCAAATGTCGATTAAATCTAATCTAATATAACAACTATAAACTCTGATATGATAAATGTATCTTAAAAAATACCTTTAATGTATGAATACTAAAAATAAATAATATTAAAGTATCATGTTGTCGTCTACATTATTTCCTATTGTTGATTGACAAGTCAACAAAATGATCGATTTCCTACAACTTCCTTCGCAAGGAATTTTATGGTCGAGATCAAACTCTGAACAGTTCTCTCCAATCAGATATTCCTGGTCCAATTTCTGTTCTGTTTTTCAAGATATGCTTTCATTGACTTTGGAAAATATATTCCACATCTGCAACAATTTTTTTCTATAAAATAAATACAGATGCAAATTTCATACCTGAAAAGATATACAATTTATTTTTATTATTATATAAATTATATGATGTGTACTATAAAAAGAATTCTACCTTGCTTGGTCCAGGTAATGTATGTATCTTTAATTATACTTATATGTACATTATATACAATTATTTGTGAATAACATATAACCGTTATAATAAAGAAACATCATCTTCACGTTATTAAACAGCTAAGCGACATTATTTATTATGATTTAGTATTATTATAATTAGGTCATATATTTGTCATATATTAATGTGGGTTATGTGTTTTGGAATGGACCATGAAAGGGATTATTATTATTATTATTTATTTGACTAAACCAAGCAAAGAAAGACCTCATTTAATCTAGCATTCTATAACGGAATTAGCTCTTTATTTTATTCGAAAATTATTTTTGATAATACAGATTATGATATATTGTGTATATGTTACCGTGAAAGACCGAAATTGGAGAATGTCGACTTTCACCAAAGTAAGTCAGAAATAAGGGTATTTAGCTAATACTTCGAACATACACCAAGCGAGTATGTGAATGTTGACATTGACCGGTGAAAGTCGACATTCTCCAGATTTCTGTCTTTCACGGTAACATACTATAATCGCATGAACGATGAGTATAAAATAATATATGGATTGGTGTGACTTTTTCTAATTATATACAATAAATCGTCGATTATCCGAACAATCGGTTATCCGAAGAGCTTGTGAAATTTATCTTTTGCGCTTTCCTCTGTGGAAATATCGATTAATTTCGTCCAAAAGAAAAATTTTCTATTGCCAATGATTTTTTGCCCAATTTAATGATTTTCCATTGATTTTCATTGATTTACCAAAAATTTTCAATTATTCGATATATAAAATTGTCCATGACAATACAAAGTATAATACGAAATAACCACAATTATAAGCAGAAGCATAAATTGTAAATATTGATTATATATGTGGCATAGGTGTGTAATTCTATGTCTATGGATTAGGACATATGTATACATATGTGGGCTGCCCATGGAAATAAGTGACTGTCTATGTGTATAAACGGGCAGCGTAACATATGTGTACACGAGGACGTAAACGAAACAATATGAATTGGATAACTTTATTAACGGTAATGTCAAACGAAAGGTCTATGCATTTCAATAATTATGTTAATATTATTATACACAAATACATACAGGGTTAGTCAGTAGAAACACACCAGCAGAATATTTTAAACTTTACATTATTTTAATTGCAATCTGTGAAAATAAATAACTGATATTACATTTTGTCATTACAATATTATTTCAGTAACCTAACTATTGAAATATTTCAATAACCTTATTGCTATGCGAACTGTCAGTTTGCGCTTATGGGAATCGGTCACAGTTACATGTCATTTTTTGAAGAGGCCACACTGTCGTGTCGGCTACTTACGACCAACTTCTACTGGTGCGATTCTATTGACTAACCCTGCACAATGTATGTCGGATCCCCTTGAAGGTTGTTGGGATCCCTGGAGGGCTCCTGCATTTGGTCGGCGTCAATGACAATTAACACACACGGATATTCCGTTTGTGACGGATTTATTAAACCGTTCAAAAGATTTAGACTTCCCACGGGGCCGATCTGATCCAGATCGCGTCTAGCCTATTACTGAATCTTTGAAAAATTTCCCGGCCTTATCGGTTTGGCAGATAGCTATT